CTGGCTGAGTTACTGAGTATTGCTGAGCACATTGTAAGCTGCCCTGAGTCTCCGGAGAAGGGCGGCATATAAATCAAATTAAAAAAAAAAAAAACTGGCTGACAAACCAGAGTAGTCCTTAATGGTAATAAATCCAGAGGAGAGAAGTAAGCAGTGGGGTATCACAAGGTTCCATTTTAGGCCCAAAACTCTTCAATATCTTCATAAATGACTTAGATGAGGGAAAAGAAGGGGAAATTTTCATCAGATTTGCAGATGACACTAAGCTGGTAGGAATAGCCAACACCCCAGAAGACAAGCTGAGGAGCCAAAAAAGATCTTCACAGACTTGGACAATGGGCCCTATCCAACAACATGAAATTTAATGTGGAGCAAAGCAAGGTTTTACTCGTGGACAGAAAAAACCAAAGGTACAAGTACAGATATAGGTGAAAAAACAGTGGCTCAAAAACAGTAACTTTGAGAGGGACTTTGGAGTCCTAGTGGACAATCACATAAACATGAGCCAGCTGTGTGTGGCAGCAGCCAAAAAAACACTAATACCAATCCTTAGTTGTATAAACCGAGGAATAGAATCAAACTCATGGGAAGTATTAGTACCGCTTTATAAAGCTTTAGTAAGGCCACATCTGAAATACTGTATCTAGTTTTGGTCACCACATTACAAAAAAGATGTTGAGATTTTGGGAAAAGTGCAAAGAAAAAGCAGCTAAGATGATTAAAGGCCTGGAGACTAAAACATATGAAGAATAACAGTTGCAGGATTTGGGTTTGGCTAGTCTAGAGAAAAGAAGGACTGGTGGGGGGGGAGGGGGACATGAAGCACTCTTCCAGTATTTGAAGGGTTGCCACAAAGAAGAGGGGCTCAACCTATTCTCCAAAGCACCTGAAGGCAGGACAAGAAGCAACAGGTAGAAACTATTCAAGACAACAAGCAACTTGGAATTAAGGAGAAACTTCCTGACAGTGAGGACAATTAACCAGTGGAACAGCTTGCCACCAGAGGCTGTAGGTGTTTCATCACTGGAGATTTAGAAGAAACTAGACAGCCATTTGTCTGAAACGGTAGAGGGTCTCCCGCTTGAGCCGGAGGTTGGACTAGAAGACCTCCCAAGGTCCCTTTCAGCTCTATTCTGATTGAATCTGTTCTGCTGCCAGATGCCTTCCAAGCAGCCCTGTGAAATGCTGGAGGGAGGGACTCTCTGACCGGAAGCCCTGCCTCAGGAAGGAGGGCTTGCAGCAAGAGCAGAGGAGGAGGAGGAGGAGGAGGGACACTGTCAGAGGCCTCCCTCATTTGAAGGGAAGGGGCTCTTTAATGGCAGAGGGAGAGAGCACCCTCAAAGGCTAAAAGAAAAATGAGGAGGGCTAGAAGGGACTTTGGGGGTCTTCTAGTCCAGCCCCTGCCTAAGGTAGGAGACCTTATTCAGAATGGCCAAATACAGCCCCCCTCAAGCCGGATATTGGGGGCAAAGGCAAACCACTGGAGGATCTGAATGAACCTTACTTTCCCACAGGGTTTAATATGGCAGGCAGAACTGATGAATCTGTGGCTCTGGGGTGGGGCTGTGCGTGAAGGAGATATGCTGGGAGGGGAGGGGAGGGGAGGGACAGTGAAGCATTGACCAGGAGTTGGCTGAGTGAAGGCTGAATGCTTACTGGCTATCAGGTAAGAGCTCTGTTGCAGCTTCCTGAGGACAGGAAAACCTTCATATCTCTGGCAAGAGCACCAATCTTTGGGAACTGGGCAGCCCGGCTGAGCCAGGCAGGAGACCCCTGGCAGAGATCTGATGATTTTGCAAGAGGTGTGTGTGTGTGTGTGTTGCAGCTGCCCCTGCTGAGCACGAAGAATACCTTCTGCAGAGGACCTTCCATTGAAGACGGTGAGGTGACCAAAAGCCAAGCCAGCTTGTTCCTGGAAGGTCCAGCTCACCATTCCGAGGACATAAGCAAACTATTAAACTGGGTGGCTCCCCAGCATTCTTCATTTCCCAAAAATATCTTCCGTGGACAAAAAGCTGCTCCCAGAAGACAACCTCAGTTTCCTCTTGGCGTTAGGTTTCTGCAGTTCTTGTGGCCAAGATGGGCAGCGCCATACGGCTGCCATTTCCGTTGAAAATCCAGGCCGCTGACGGGCATCCTGAGTTTAAGATGTTGTTGGCTGTTTTTCTGACGCAAGAACAATGTTTCCCTCTTGGGATGTCACCACAGACAAGCCTGCTCTGTGGTTGCTTTGATGTGCACACTAAGAGTCGCAGATGGAGAAATACACCAGAATCTACTTGGGATGAGAGTTGGTTGGTTGGTTTTACTTTTTGGGCTTGCTCCAGAAAGAAAAAAGCATTGCAATGCCATAAATGGGGGAGAGAGTTACTTATTTTTTTAACTAAAGCAAAATTAGTAAGATTTTTATGTTTGCAAATGTCACTTTCATAATGTAATGAAATATTAAAACACAAATCTTTCCTAATACTCCATTGAAGCCAATGATGAATTTTAACTTCTAAATCATTAAAAGGGACAGCCTTACTAAATTAGGAGGCAGCATATAAATGAATGAAATAAATAATAGTCACAAATAATTCTAAAAGAAATAAATCGATACACCAGAGCACAGGACAATGCAGGGTGGACTTCAGCAAAAAGTTTATTTCAGAAGATCTGTTTGTGGTGGCAGTGAATCTGGAAGCAATCTCACCCTAGGTTCGCTCTTTCCCTGCTACTGTTGGTTTAAGAGCCACACAGCAATTCTGAGAAGGGTCACTGGAGACAGCTGGCCAGTTGGATTAACCTTTCTGTCTCAGCGTAGTTAGAGGGGAGGGTTTGAAGGGAGAGGCAGATGCGAAGTGAAGTCGTGCCCCCTCTGCTTGCGCAGCTCAGTTCCAAGTGGGCCACGACCCAGTAGTGGCCCGTGGCCTGGTGGTTGGGGACCCCTGCCTTAGATCTTCTAGTCTAACGCCTTGCACAAGCAAGAGAACCTATACCATTTCAGACAAACGGCTGTCCAGTCTCTTCGTAAAAATCCCCAGTGATGGAGCACCACAACCTCTGAAGGCAGCCCATTCTATTGACTGTTTAAACAATAAGTAACTGTAAATGAATTGGGACACGACTTTTTTACATCAGAGACTGGATGCAAGGACAGAGATGTTCACTTTTTACACATCACATGTTGACTTGGGGAGGAAACTGGATTTATGAAAAATCTGGTTCACTGAGAACCTCCCCCCTCCCAGCAATACTTCTACTGCATCATGTCAATGATGCTTCAACCATTTTTATCCAGCGAGGTCTAGGCCTGGCCCAATCAAGGGCCAGGCCTTTGCCTTAATCCCCTGTCAAGTGAGTCCTTCCTCCCCAGGGATGGGCAAAGGTCCTCGTGCCCGGTGGTGGCCTTGTGGCCCTCTCCTTAGGCTGGGGGCCAAGCAGCCCTGAAGCCCCAGGGCTCTGCAAGAGGTTTGCTTGCTTCCAGACTCCCCTTCCCCAAATCCCAGCAAATGCACAATTCCCAAAGTGCAGTTACGCCAGGACTCTGAGCCTGGAGCTACCTAAGGTGAAACCAGTCAGATCAGCTGTTGGGACAGGCAGGGCCGGATTTAGATGCAAAGAGGCCCTAGGCTATTCCACTTATGAGGCCCTTTCACCTATAGTGAAAGTGTAATTTTAATTTTGCTAACAATTTGAATGTAGGCCCCTCTTGATCTTGAGGCCCTAGGCTGAAGCCTAGTTAGCCTATAGGAAAATCCGGCCCTGGGGACAGCCAGGGGGCTGCTCTCCCTTTGGCGGGGCCAGGCAGGAGCCCCCCTCAGGCCCCCTCCCCATTCCTGCTTCTGGAGACAGCAGTTCCCATTGCCCCCTCCCCCCACCTGCAGAGGCTCCTTCTCAGCGCAGCCAAGGCAAGCAGCATCTGGCAGCCTTTCTGCTCTTCCATTCCCCAAGCAGGGGTGCCGTTTGTGCATGGGGAGGACCCAAGCGGCCCCGCAGAGGCCCCGGCTTGCTCCCCCCAACAGCAGCCCCGGCTCTGGCCTTCCCCTCGGGCTGAGCCCGGTTCAAGCGGGGAGGGGCGGGGAGGGGAGGGCTGCCCTCCGCCGGAGAGGCTCAGCCGGAAAACGCAGCCCAGGCCAAGGCGGGAGGCTGGCAAGGGAACAGCTGCGCTTCCCGGATTGCCCCGCTGAGTTTCAGTAAGTCAGCAGTTCGGCAGGGCAGAACAGGCTCGACCAGATTCCGCTCCCGCTTCGCTCGCAGCCCCCGCGGTGGGCCGGAGTCATCCAGGGTGGCCGCTTCCACCTGCTGAGGACGGGGGGGCACCTGTTGGTCTAACCCCTTGGGACCCCTCGGGCCAGCCCTTGCTGGGCATCGGGAGCTCCGCTTCTCCAGCTCCGGGGCCGGCAGGAGGCAGCGCTTCCTCAGAGGCTCTGAACGCCCGATCCTCGCCGTTGCCGCTTTCTCCTAATGGCCGCCGCCGCCGCCAATTGGGCGGCGTGGGAAAGACGCGCCTTCCAGGCAGGCGCCCCTTGAGGCCCCCCGGTCCTCTGGGCGTCCCCTGCAGCTCCCCCTGGGAAAGGGGCCACGCGGCGCTTAAGGGAAGCCCGCCGCCCTGTTGGCGCAACCGCCGCCCCGTCCAGGGCCCAGGAGGGCTGCTTGTGCCACGAGCCACGCACGACGGAGCCTCCGAACCGCCCAGCCTCGCGCGCAGCCTGCGGAGGGGCTGAGGCCGGACTCCTAGGAGCGACCCGGGAGAGGCAGGGAGCCCCGAGGGCCTGGCGGCCTCCGGAGGCTGCACCTGCCCGGCTTTCGGGATTCCTCCTGGGCAGAGCGCTTCCCTCGGGCCCCCTGCCTGCCCAAGACCCGGCTCCGGGAGGGGCGGCCTCGCGGGCCCGTCGCGCTCCCGCCTCGGCCATCCCTCCGAGGGGAGCCAGCCGCCTCGCGTCGCCCCCCCAACCCGCCGGCCGGAAGCGGGAGCTGCCCCGCCGCGCGCGCCTGCCTCGCCCGACGGGACTCACCCAGATTGACGAAGCTCATGACGGTGTCCGCGCCGTCGGCGGCTGCGCTAAGCGCGGGGCTGTCCTCGGCGTCGTCCTGGCGGGCCAAGGCGCGGTACAGGCCCAGCATGAAAGAGCGGCGCGGCGGCGGGCGGGGGGCGGGGCGGCGCGGGCGCGTCTTGCGGGCGGCGGGCGGCGGGCGGCGGGGTCCGCCGGGGAGGCCCAGGAGCGCCAGAACCTCGCGCTGCAACTCGCGCCCGCTCAGCCGTCGCGGGGCGGCGGGCGACGGGCGGCGGGCGAGGGCCTCGCGGGGCTGGGACGCCGGCAGAAGCGCGGCGATCAGGAGCAGCGCCGCCGCCACCGGGCCCGACCAGAGCCGCATGGCGCCCGCGCAGCGCAGGGGGGTCCGAGCCCCGCGGCCGTCGGGCCGGCCCTTTAAGCGGCAGGCGGGGGGGGGGGGGGGGCGGCACGCGATCCGCCTCGTCGGATGCGCTGGGGGCCCGCGGGCAAGTACAGTCTGCGGGGCAGCCTAACCGGGATTGTCACTGCCACGTCGCCGCCCCTGCCCGCTCGGCCTCCGCCGTCCAACCTCGTCCTCCAGCTCCGGCCGCACACGGGGGACGAGCCTCCCGCCCGCCGCTACACCTCCGACGGCCCCGGCGAACGGGAAGGGCGGGGAGCTCCCGTCTCCAAGAGGCAGCCGGGACTCCTCGCCCTGCTCTGCCCTGCTCGAGCCCAGCCCCGGAGCTGCCCTCTGCCGGAGTCGGGATGCCGGTTGAGGCTCGCCCTCCGATCCCGCCTTCCGCCCCTCGGGGCTCCGTCCGCGGAGTAACCGGACACGCTCCGAGCTTCCCGGGACTCGAAGTCGTTCCGGCGTCTCCCGAATCCCATCAGCCGGTCCGCCCCCAAAGGAGCCGTTTGAGGGGCAAGAGGCCAAATCCCCCCCGGAGGTTCAGGACCCTGAGCAGCGCGTGTGGGTGTCCTCCTCCGTGGGCTGCCCGGACCAGAAAATCAACTTCCCAGAGGCTAAAATCTACTTTTATTGAGCTTGGCTGCAATAACCGACTTTTTCCAATCTGATTGTGCTGACCCTCCTTCTTATCCTCGTGTGAATCGGCCACTTCCAAAATTTCTCTTGCAGTTTAGAGGGTTCTCCACCGACTCAGACAGTTGGGAAGCAAGGAAGGCTCTGCTCCCCTCTGACCCTCTATGGACTTTGAAAGAGCAGGATAGGAAGGAAGAGTATTAATTTTTATTTGCATTACTTATTAGGCAATCAGGATAACTTTCTCTGAAAAGTAGCAAAATTCTGCTACATTATGTACAAGGTTTGCCCATAAATGGTTGCCCTCATAATTTTCCTTTGTTTTACTGAATATATTTTTACTGGTCAAAGTACATTTCTGCTCCTTTCTGTGGAGAGCCAAGAAAACAGACCAAATTGAACAAACTAGTCCAGAATTTTCCCTGGAGGCACAAAGGACCAGCTCCAAATTATTCTACTTCGGTTCTATTATGTGAAGATTCAGCTCCAATGCTCGGAAAGTGGAAGGAAAGAGGAGGACCAGCGCTGGACTCAGTTATGGCGGCAATGGGGGCACCATTGGAGGACCAAGTTGGGGAACGGAGCTGCCTAGAGAAAATCTTGATCTATGTGGTTGCTATGAGCCGACCCTGACTTGATGGCACAGAATCAAAATCGGTGCCAAGGATGGAAGCCCACCTGAATGGATCCTGCCTACCTAGAAGTGCCCTGGAGTTAAAAGTAGGTCTCTGTGAGGACAATGAGGAGGAACCACCAGGGAAGATCATCCAGCTATTGTGGGAATCTAACCGTTGGCTGAGCTTGTTCTATGAACCAGGCTGACATTTGTGCCGATCTGTGAGTTGCTTGCATATTATGCTTGGAGTACTGAAAGAAGAAGAAACTGGTTCCAGTACCCAGGCTGATGGGGAGGTGCCTGGACTGGCTGAGGCTGCTCCCCCAAGCCATCAACGAAATGTTGGGGAGGCAGGAGAGTCTGGAGGATACCTCACTGACCACACACTTAGATAAGGGGTTCTGTTAGCTTCCAAACTCAGGACTCATTGCTGCAACAAACAGTATTAATTCCCGATGTCGAAAGGAGTGGGCTAATGGAAAATGTCCAATGTTAAAATTTCTCAGTTGCCCACTGAGTGGGAAAGTAGCAGATGTAGGTGACAAAGACCATTTTTGAATGGCCACAAGCTGAGTATCTGTTCAAGGGGAACTGGTGGAGACATTGCCTAGTAATAAGCTGGGCAGCCTTTGGCCGGCATTCCAGAGCAGCTTTTGTCCTCAGTCTTTGGAAGAGCTTACGAAGACTGAGGTGTTCTGAGCAGAGCAACCAGAAAGGAATTTTAGCCACTTTAACCATGAGGAAAGACGGCTGCAGTTGTACAGCAGCACTTTTCACATCCCTGAAAGGAACTTGGAAACTAATTTGCAGAGTGCAGGAGGAGTAACGGATTGGCCGTGGCCCCAAGTGAACATCAGGAAAAAAATCCTGGCGTCCGAGACAAGAACCAGGGGCTCAGAGCAGGGTTTTCCCCTCATTGGAAGAGGCCAAGAAGAAGGTAGAGGGATGCATGCATGCACAGAACAGATATGTGATTTGGTGGTAGTGGATTGTTTTATTTTACAGTCAGAAAGCAGAGGTGGCAGACAGAGGGAGAAAGAGGAAGAGCTAGGAGGCATCACACAAGCAACTTCTGTCCCATTTGGGACTTTCAGGTCATCCTTGATTTACAACAGTTCATTTAGTGAGTATCTGAAGTCAAACAGCACTGAAAAAAGTGACTTATGACCGTCTTCCACACTTATGGCTGTTGTAGCATTCCCACATGATGCACGGTCACGTGATTAAAATTCTGACATTTGGCAACCGACTCATATTTATGACCTTTGCAGTGTCCTGGGGTCATGTGATCATGTTTTGTGACCTTCTGATGAGCAAAGTCAATGGGGAAGTTAGATTCACATAATCTGTACTAACTTAACCACTGCAGTGATTCACTTAACAACCACAGCAAGAAAGTTTGCGAAACAGGGCAAAACTGACTTTTAACAAATGTCTCACTTAGCAACAGAATTTTTGGGCTAAATTGTGGTCATACATCGAGGACTACCTGTACTATGTAAAAGGAAAGAAAAACCCATGGGGGTTCAGAAGCCAGGTAAAACCTCGTAGAAGAAGGCATGACATCATGTCACATCTGCATCTTAAGGGAAGGCGTCCGTTTCCTACTGGAGTGAAGACAAGGGCCTTCGGGCATCCCAGAATCCGCATCCGCTCCAGGCTGAGCCACCGCATCCTCCAGGCCTCCTTGGCTTTGGGAACATGCTTATGGTGCCAGTCTGCAGCCCTTTCGGAAATTGCCTTCTCCGTCTTGGTGTCTGCAGATACTTGCAGCACACACGGACCATGCTAACTGAGAACGATGCCTATGGACTTTGGGGAGAATGTCCCCCAAAGCGGCCTGCATGGCAACATGCTGCCCCGGCCATGGGAGAAACTGTGGGGTGGTGCCAAGCCTTCTCCGGAATTGGCTGGATCCCAAGCTGGCCGCCTTATGACTAGGGGAGCAGGTATATTTTATTTATTATTTATTTATAATAAATAAATAAATAAATAAGTGGGTCTGCTGCCTTCAGCTCTTCAAAGGTCCTGATCAGGCGCAAGCAGATGAATCCGAGTGGCGGGTCAAAGCTTGGGCCTCGGCATCAGCCTGGGCAACCCCGTCATCCCACTTCAGCGGGTGATGTAGGCATCAGCCTCAGGACAGGAAGGACTCTGACCACTGGCCTCATCCAACTTTCTGAGCAGCATAAAATAAGAGACACTTTGCTTCACTTTTATTACTGCAAGCAATTTTAATACAAAACATGTGTTTGTTTTTAAACAATTCATTGGTAGAGCTTCCGGTTCTGGCTCAATTAAACCAACTGAGAGAATCACACAGCAATGTGGTCAGTCTGAGCAGGGACAAGGGTACAAGTGAATAAATACAGGAAGACCAGGTGGCCCCCAACCCCTTTTGCACAGTGGTCTCTCCCTTCCTCCACAAAGGGGAGCGGGGGCGTCCAGAGCCAGGGGGTCTGCTGGTGATGCTCCTCCCCCTCCCCAAGAGCACGTGGTGGTGGTGGTGTCGAAGGCAGCTGGCTGCTCCACAGCAGAGGCTTTCTGGGCTTCTGCTGGCCGGAGAGGCCCGGACCAGCCTAAGAAAGTCATCTAATTGCAGTCTGTGAACTTAAACGTAAAGTCGGTTCTTTCACTCGTGGTTGGCCTTTTGGAAATGTGTTATCCTGTGACTAAACAGAAGCAAATTTAAGATCCTCCCACCCCCTCACAGCTAAAACCACACGGTTTTACCTCCCTACAATGGTTTTGCCTTTATAATTCCCCCCAAATGATGTTCTTTGAAAGCTTGACGGGACTTTCCTTTTGCAAATTACAGTATTGTAGTGAAGTTCTTTATTCAAATGAAGCATGTGCAAAGGTCCGTTTTCAAGCTATCTTCAGGTAAAACCATAGGAATTTATTTTTTAAATTGGAAACAAGCCCCCTCACCGTGCATTTCTCTCTTATTGAGGTATCTGTGATTTACAAGGAGAGAGAGAGAGAGAGAAAAGAAAGTTCCTTTCTTATGTTGGATCTTCAGATGTTGCTCTTAAATATAATTTCTCTGGCTGAAACAGCACGTTAAATTTTTATAAAGATGCGTTTAGGAAACAATCCTAAAAGATAACGCAGGAACATCTCCTGCACTGCACAGAAATCCTATTTATATCATTTGTTTGTTTTTACATTTTCACATCTTGACCTTTTGCTTCTCTCCCATGTTTCAGTTTTCCCCTGGGCCCCCATTGCAAAGAAGGCAAGTTTTATCTACATAAATATTCACATGAAAAAGTAACCTATAAAAAAAAAAAAGAGAACCAAATAAGGCAGCTTCATAACACAATTTTCTTTTACACTTTTAACAATATAATTTCTCCCACGTAGAATAAATATACATCCAATGTATGAAGCAGGGTTAAAAACTGGACACAGGTTTCCGTTCTCTGTGCAAAGCTGGGCATCATGTGGATGCCGTATTATCTCTTGGGGCCAGGAGATTTGGCAGTGCTTGTTTTCTTGGACATGGTGGGGATCTTGGAGGGCTTGGCCAGGCCCCGCCGGGAGCCACCCTGTCCCCCTGTTGCACTGCTCTCCGAAGTGTCTGAACAGGCAGACTGCGTCTCCAGCAGATCAAAGTCAGAGGCATCGCTGCCTCGCCGGCTGCTGGTTCGGCTCCCTGCGTGGCTGCCTGCACGGCTGGTGGGGCGGCTGGCCGTTTTCTTAGGATCTGAAAGACAAA